ATGTCAGAGAAGTATCTGATCTGCTTATTTACAATTTGTTTTTAAAAAATGGCAGAATTGTAGCTGATATTCAAGTTTACAGCACCCAAAAGCCCTCAGTGTGCTCAATGCTCCTGCCCCAGCTTTGACAGTAACAAGCAGCTCAACACTGACAGCCTGCGTTCTGTCGTTGAGGAATTCTTGCCCCAACCTTCACCTTCGCCTGTGTCTTTAACAGAGGAGTCTGACAGGGATGAAGCAGAGGAAGATGAAGACATGATGAAATCATTTTGGAAATGAGGCCACATATGTTCCAAGATCACCATAACAAATAACTGATTTAACACGGGGACGAACGTGTTGAGAAATGTTTTTCATTTAATGAAAAATACAATGAAATGAAAAATACCAAGGTATGTTTCATGATTCAGCTTTGCATAGGGATTTTTTTCTAGTAAGTACAGAAGGAGAAAAATGTGGTGAGCAATGGGTCATTACATTTTAGAATTGCAGTGTCTGGTGTATAGTGTATGAAACCCACTGTGGTGGGAGTACGACCTGTTGCACTTATACAGAGAGAATTTGGACTTTGAACAGATCGTTACAGTCTGGTAGTTATAATCTCAAATAAAAAGTGATAGTATTGCTTGGATGTGCCAGTGTTGGTGAATATAGTAACCAAAAGATTAAATGTCACCACACATCTATCCATGATGACACCGTCTGTGTGTGGGCTTTATCCCTGAATCATCAAGAAAACTTTTACACTTTTGCAGTTTCTCCTCACAACAAGCCAACATGTCTACAGCATGACATTTCCCACATGATCTTTGCGAACGCATTGAGCATAAATCAAGCTTTTCACTGATAATTGTTGACCTTTAGTTTCAACAATGGATAAATACTAGTTTTTAATAGTTTAAAAGTCATCTCTTCTGTCAACATTAATATGATTTTGCTATTAGAAAAAAAACAATGGATCAAATAGCATTAATAGCATAATAATCTGTCTAATAGTGAGTCATTGTCACACACACTGTCACATTCTCTCACAGAAATCGCCCTCACATATGCTTCCTCTGTAACCAACATACCAAGGCTGCTACCTCACCCCACAATGATTCCTCCCAGAGCCTATGCAGCTCACAAGCCCTGCGTTGAGAGGAGAGAGCCGTGCAATATCCATTAGCCGGCTTCTTCTGCTTTGATGGCTCAGAGAGCCCTCAAAGGGCTGGAGGAGCCAGGGCCGCTGCAGAAAAACAAAACAGAGAGGGGAGAGGACAGAGGGCCCTGGCAGACGGAGATGGAGGGAAGAGGGCCGGGAGAGGGAGAGGGTTATAGGGGGTCAGGGCTCTCTGTGTGTCGCCAGCTGGACCCAGCTAAGAGGAGGCAGTGGAAGTGACGGGAGGGGCAGAATTTAACTGAGAGTGAAGGAGAAGGGTAAAAAAAAGCAGTAATGTGCATATTTATATTTGTGGTTTCAATCTTTGTATTCACTTTTCACACTTTGTATTCTTTCTATGAGCTACTTCAGTGTTGTTTTATTTTAAGATCAGTTTAGACTTGCAGCCTGCAGCATTTGTATCCAGAGCAAGTTAAAGCAAGCAAGCTGTCTTTGTCTTTTTCAAGGATATTTGGTTACTGATGGACACACAGGATCAAACCTGTGACCTATCAGGTTTAAGTCTCTTTACGAGGTAAGAATACCAGTGGAGGTTTTAACGGAAGAGTGCAGAGAATGAAAAGATTTCAGTAAAACGATAAGTGGGGAGTAGGAGAGGTGAGGGGAAGACAAACAGGAAGGGTGTTTTTAGAAACACATTAGGGAAGAAACTGAAAGGAAGAAAAAGGAAACATTGGATCGAGAGAAGCAGGGTGAGGGGATAAACAAAGAGAGGGATGAAATGTGAAGACAGAAGCATAACATACAAAACAGCAGTAGAGCAAAGGCACATTGGAAGGAAAAGAACAGGGGTGAAAATGGAGGGAGATGTTGTGGGGCGAAAGAGGAGAAAAAAAGATCGGCATAGATGGGTGGAGGTCTATTAGCAGGAAGTTTGTGCGTAAGCGTTGGCCTGAGGAGATGGAATCTGGTGTGGTGTGTTTGTTCTGCCCTCAGCAGGCCCCTCCACTGACTGCTCGGGAAGAGGTAAAGATGGAGGATGGGAAAGATTAGAAAAATGAATGATCGCTGTGAGAGCGTCAACCCAGGTAAAGTCTGATTCGTTCTGTGTGCAGAAATGGGTGCACAGCCAAAACTTGTTGTAACTGTTGTCATAACAACCAGGAAATTTGAAACAACATGGGTTATTTCCAGGGCTGGCTGAGTGAGTGAGGAGGAAACTAGTGGATGATTCCAGCAGGGTTGGATTTGTCTTTGTTGAAGATTGTTAAATTGCTGTATTTTCCAGCAATAGCACCGGATTTCATTATGAGGTTTGCGGCATATCTGTCATTGTGTGCGTCAAGCTTCAAAAAGCAAGAATGAAGTGGCAACATAGCCTTGTAAATAAAGTACTCATGCAGTGTTTAGTCTGTTTTGACTAAAGTAATACTCAAGCCCTTTAGTATTACTTCATACAGAAAGACATGTGAGAAATCCTGACTTTTATTAGCATACAGGTCAAGAATATAAACATATTAATGAAAATGAAAGGGATCTGAATCGTACAGACCTGACAGTCACCACATCTTAATTATCCCTCTGAGAATCAGTAATGCCATGAATGATGGGTCATACAGGTGTCTCACAGACTGACCTGTTTGTGCAGTCTCTTGCTTCCTTGCTCCATGTTTGTGTATAGGCTAGCCCATGCGCCACGGTGAAAAAGTTGGGAGGTGCGCCAAATGTAACGATGCATGCCAGCAGGAACATTGAGTATAAACCAGTATAAAAACACTCAAGACCTGTGGGTTCAAAAAATGAAAATACCTGAAACTTCTCTTGATGACAATCAAAGAGTAAAGTGATGGAAAGAGGTGTTTGACTGGGACAGGTAGGAAGTGAGTACTTGTCATGATAGTGTTTGAGAAGAGTACGGAATGAAAAGTTTTGCTTGATTCCAAAGACCAGATCCAGTCATGCATCATTTAAAGAGCATGTGCCCAGCCTGAAAGCCCCATTTTCATCATGAGTTTCATATGTCGCTGCAGGGTCACACTCACTGTCTTTTCAAACAGGGACTTTAAGAAGTGACATTTTTACACATTGTATTGTTTCACATGCTCTGATTTAAGAAAGAAAAGTAGACCCATGAAATGAAATTTACCTACTAGAGCCCTAGGGAATTAATAGAAATTAGAGCCTCGCCCAGCCCAAACCTTTCTGCTCATGGATTGGGTTCAGGCTGCAAATGAAAAGCAACCACAACACAGGATAAGATTTTAGATCCATTTCCCTACAGAGATAGAAATAAACTGACTCCCAGAGTGAGTCATACAGAAACATTGTCCAGTTCGTCATCTGATAGCCAATGTACAACCTGGACCTGTTTCCAGCAACTTTTGTCAAAACACGGTGAGTCTCGATTTAGCTCATTATCTGTTCCTCTGCCTTCCTGTTGATGTCTGACGTACAAGCATCAGTGAAAAACTGAGCTGCAAGAAAGAAGGGAGGAAAGAGAGATTAACACTAACTGCAACACATACACACTGTGGTTGTGACACACCCCCCAGGTTCAGGACCTGTGTAACTTTCCTTTTGTGCACAATGAGGTATACACAAGTCCTTGCCCTTTTCCTGTATCCAAATAAACAGTCCAAAAACGGCTGTGTAGCGGGAACACTGCCTTTGTGTGTGTGTGTATGTCCATGTGTTGCGTGTATCACGTAAGCATGACTATGGCCTTCAGCCCCCTTCATTAGGGCTGCTGCTCAGCTCCTGCTTCCTTCGGTCACAGTTCACTGACCTGAAGGCCCATAACAGACATGGGAATCGGATGTGTCACTCTGTGTTTCTGTCTCAGTGCTCCTCCAGCTGTGGAGCTGTGGATTTGGCTTCACATTTGTGCATACTTTTCATTTGCTTACATGCCCTCGGACGCTAGCTGTTCCTGTGTTTACTTGGCACTTATGTATATAAGTAGTTGTACAGACACTGTTTGTCCTCAATTCATCATCATTTGATGGTTAAAAATCCACTCACTGCAAATTCCTGCCCCTGTCTTGCCTCAACAACTCCCTGATATCTTGTTCTGACATAGGCTGACAAACTACCAGTTGTTGACAGACTGAGATACAAGGCTAAAATCTCATTAAGTGCTTGCCAATTATACCTGCAAAGCACAAAGGCACTTCCTGATCAATGGCACAAAGTTTTTGTAGGCCAACCTGGGAATTTAGTGTCACCCTGGTTCCTTCGACAAAAAGCCAGTGGAATTTTGGCTTTCATTGCAGAATATAAACTCAATGACTGTCTAAGATAATGATTCACAACTGAACACTTTTATGATTTTTTTAAACCAAAATTCAATTACTAGAACAAAAATGCTATTGCAAACACCACTGTCAACGTCATTCCAATCACTTCTTATTTGATTTGGTGCACTGGCCCTGTCTGCACAATCAGGCTGTAAAAGTGGACTAGTGAGTGGTACTTGTTCGTTGTCCTCGACAACCTTGTTCATCTCATTCGGCCACTTAGCCCCTTTTTTAAGATGCAAAACTTTAAGAAATCAAGAGATGGGTATTTAGTGATATATTTTATGTTGCAGCATAAAACATGAACATATATTAAGCTTCTGCAAACCACAAACCCTATTTCAGGCATTACATTTTGACGTATCCACGTCTCAAACCAGGCCATGCTGGGTCCTTGAATTTGAATGAATTGGGTCTTGAAAGTAAGACATTGTGGAAACCCTGTTAGTCCGTCTCTCCATTTCTTACTGTCTGAAGAAGCATTTGGTCTTAATCACCTCTAAGCTGTGACCCTTCTCTCTGTCCTGACGCAAGAAGAATGTTTGTGTGTGTTCACATGAATCTGTCTTGTATTCACATGTGTCCGTCTCTGTGTGTTCTAGGTGACCTCTGCATGCATCCCATTGCCTCCCAATGATCTGGTAAGTCCCCTTCATTCACCCACTTTCTTTTCCTCAAGAGCGCTCTGTATAGAAGCCTAGTTTTCCCACTCTGTCTATCCATAGTTACAAGGTATGGCTTCCCAAAACCACGGTATGGTTTCCTCTTGTTGAATTCCTTTTGGGAAGCCGAGCCCTCAGCCCAGTTTGAGCTCAGTTCATTCCTAGAGCACTGTGGCATTCCAGTGTAGAAGAAAAAAAATATTGTTGATGTTGCTGTAGGAAGTAGTAATGTTTATCCATTAGAGAGTCTGTTTGTTTAATTAACTCTCCTTTCCTTCCTCTGTATCCCCTCCTCCCCTCGCCTCTCTCCCTCCTTCAACCCCTCTCTCACCTCCTTTCAACCTCCTCCCTTTGCCCAACCTCCTATCACCATCCCTCTCTCCACACCCTCCACTCCTTTTTCCTGTTCCCGCGCCTTCCTCACATCCAGCAGCGTAGAGGGACTGCACCTTCTCGACACACCCAACACCTGGTGAGCACACTTTCAACTCCATCCTCCTCTCTCCTCGTTCTTCTTCTACGCATCGTCTCTTTTTCTCTTTCTTTCCCTCCGTGTCCCCAGCGTCATGCTCTCTGAACCTGGAAACGTCCAGACATGTCAGGGGAAATGTTTGTGGCTTCTCTGAATTTGATTTAGCACATGCTAAACAAACCAAAGTAAGAGCAATGCCAGACACTTGTCTCTGTGAAAATAATAATGTGACGACTGTGATGCTCGTTACATGCCATGAGCTCCTTCAAATCAAAATGATTCCTCCATTAGAAACTTAACTCTGCTCAGCAAATTAAATGTCAATCTACATATGATGATGCATGACTTAATAGTGCAGACAAAGCATTATCATAGGATCCTAAATGGAAAGGGTTGATGCACTAGAGAGCATGAATAAGTCAAATGTAATGAACAAGGATGATGGTCACTTCTTTATTGTTCCTTCATTCAAAGTAAATAAAATATTTGATTCTGGTAATGGCAGTAGATAAAAAAACTAGGGGGTCACTAAAACTAGTAAAAACTAGGGTTCATCTCCTTGAGACTACAAATGTGTTGTTGGTTGTCCCAACAAATACTTTCTGAGATATTTCTGACTGGATGCAGGTCATAAATATGACTGTCCCCTTTTCCAAAATTCAAGCTTGAATGAATCTGGCATTACACGCTATTCGTTTGAATATAATAAATTGCTAAACCACTGCACACAAGTCAGATGAGGATGAACCCTTGATGTTTCTGTGCTCGTCTGTGGTGCTTCCTCTGCTGCCTCACATGTGTGGTGAGCTAACAGGTGAGCCCACAGATTGCATGGTGCAAAGTTAACCAACAGATGTCCGTTGCTTTGCTGTGTAGAACCCAAAAAACTTCCACACACCGCTTCTCAGATACGTTGTTGTTGTGAATGTCCCCTTAGGACGGCTATGCTTGTTGGCGTCCTCCATTTTTTGAATTGATGACCGATGGGTCTAGAGGGTCAAGAGGACACTCAATAGGCAAACCAGTCTATGTATACATGCATGAGTGTTTTGGCTTCCATATGGGCAATAAAGGAAAGAATTTGGTCGAGGGGAAGCAGAAAGATGCTGGGGCAGTTTATCCAACTGTTCAAATGACTGATGACACCATCATTTGGCAACAGAAGTTTGAGTCACTTCTAATTGTTTCTGTTTAATTCAACAGGGATCCACCAAGTCTCTGACCTATACCAAACAGAGGAACACTCTGCCAAGGTAAAGGTCATCTGAGTCTTTTCTCACACAGAAGTTTGTGTTCCTGAATGACTTTCCACTAAAAATCATTTCATAAAAATAAAGACTTTTTTTTCTTGAGTGCCTCGCGCTCTGCTCTTTGTTTCTGCCTTCTTGCACCTTTCTGTCATTCTTTCCAGAGGGTTTAGTGTCAACTATGTGATTGAGCAAGTTGGCTTTTGATCCGACCTGCATGTCACAGACAGTATCCAGTTCCTCTCTTATTCTTTTCTCCTTTCTTGCTGCATCAGGCCGTGAGTTTCACCGCAGCGTACGAGGGAGCATGATCATGTTGAGCTGCCACAAGCAATCTGAATTAACGCTCACATTTTCAGCCGTGTCCACCTTTCCCTCTCTGTCTCCCTGCATGACCACCTGACCCTTGCTCCCTCTTCTCCTTTTCCTCTCTCCCTTTTTTTAATCTGTTCCTCTTTTGCTGTTTCTCCAGGAGCTTCAGCGTGGACCGCGTGATGGAGAGAGTGATGGAGCGCCACTACGACTTCGACCTGACCTACATCACCGAGAGGATCATCTCCGTCTTCTTCCCGCCGAAGCTGGAGGAGCAGCGATACCGGCTGAACCTGAAGGAGGTGGCTGCCATGCTCAAGTCCAAACATCAAGACAAATTCCTGGTGAGGGAACAGACATGCATCACGCTGTGTGAGCTGACAGTAATTACTGTAGCTTATATGGTCTGTGGTATTTGTTGCAGCAGTGATTTTATGTTCGTCCTATTCAGTTTAATTTAGCTGACGGTGCTCGTTGCATGAGAGACGAAAGAGACAATATTTTAACATATGGCATCAAGAAGCCACAAAATACACTTAGAAACCCACAAATGACCAGTTTGTTGTTTTTTTTTCTCTCACACCCATAGTAAAATAACTCAAATGATAAGTGGCTGCAGTGATAAACCTCTCTTTGGTTTCAGCTCCTGAATCTCTCCGAGAGGCGCCACGATATCACCAGAATAAACCCAAAGGTAGAAATTTCCTCCTTGTAATTCTTGTAACTCAATGTTGAGAATTAATTTCTCAAACTTTAATTTAATCTTCTCATATCATTTGCTCTGTCTCTACCCGCCACCAGGTTCATGACTTTGGCTGGCCTGACCTCCACGCCCCACCGCTGGATAAGATCTGTGCCATATGCAAGGCCATGGAGACGTGGCTGACCTCTGACCCCCAGCACGTGGTGGTCCTGCACTGCAAGGTCAGAGTTCAGGGGACCAGCAGGGTTTTTTAGATGGACATTCCACTGTTTCCTAGGCTCTGAACTGGGCAGATCAGAAAGTAGTCATGAGTTAAGTGCTGTAATGAGGTAGCAGCATATGTTGATTTAAAATAGGGCTGCACATTTCATGCTACTGGTGTTAGAAATAGCATTTATATTAGAATGAAGAATAGTATACATTGTTAATATGTATGTTAACATGTTAATGCTAGTGTTACTCACAGTGACCATGTTCACAGCTGTTTGCTTTCCAGATAGCAGTGTTGGACATGTGCAAAGGTGCTACTTAAAAGGTCCAGTGTGTAAGATTTGGGTGAAAGGAATTTTTGGCAGAAATTGAATATAAAATAATCCTAGTGATGTTTTCACTGGTGTTTTTCATCTAAATTGTATGAATTGTTGTTTTCATTATATTATTTTTTCACATGGAGCAGGGGGGTCCTCTCTGTGGAGGCCGCCATGTTTTTTTACCGTTGTCCAAACTGGACAAATTAAAACCTTTTGAGTTTTCATGACAACTGAAGTTCACCACACGTTCTCTTTCATGTTTGATAGTGGAGGGTGAGATGAGCAGTATTCAGCTACAACATGCAACTTCACCGCTAGATATCACTAAATTCTACACACTGTACCTTTAAGCAAATGTAGCAATATCAGACTGATAAAATACTAAGTACCGCTTTCAAAAAAATAAAACTAAGAGTACAGAAGTATTTTCACATAAATTAAAAGTCTTTTTATATAAGTTGTTACATTGTTGAGTTTTGGTTAAGTTAACGACAACTTTATTGTCCATGATATGGAAACTTGTCTTTGGCTCACAGAAAAACAACAACTCGGAGTTCAATCACAGACAATTGTTCAACCAACCATTAAAGAAATCACATAAATTACAGTATCTCTCTGAAATACTGTGATAGAAGTATAAAGCATCATAAATCAAAAATAATCAAGTACAAATACATAAAAATCTGTCAGATAGCTGGAAAATCTTGTTAAATATTTTGGAGCAATGTAACAGAACTAAACAGCTTCACACTTAGTGCTTTTTGGTTAATGTTACATGCTGTGGTTGCTACTTCAGAGAAAAAAATATATTATTTGAATTCTTCCACCAGCTTTCACAAGCCTTGATTTTTCCATTTAATATTTCTTTTGTAAAATGCAATGAGTGAAATTAGGAAATTGCAGTTTAAACATGTTTTGATAAAAAGCAGAGTGTAGCAGAGTTGATGTCGAGTGTCTCCTGTAATTCAATCAGCTGTTTGGACCTGAGCCAGAGGCGTAAGCATACAATTGAGATCAAACTCTGTCAACACAGCGTTCAACTTCCACACTGCTGAGCATCATTTACTATTTCATTTATGTCATCATCATATGAAAGTGCTGGCAAATCAAACTTTTCCACCACTGCCAACCAGCACCACTGAGGGCGACCGAGCTCCCACGGCTTGTCTGGATGTTTTATTTATTGGTTTTGGTTAGAAGATTTTAAATACTAAAACCAGACTACTTCTGCGGTCTGCTGACTCTCCAGCACATTCCTTATCCAGGCATTTTTTTTTCACTGCTGCAGATCACGCCAGGGGATTGGAATAAACAAGTTTTTGTCAATGTTGAATCTTTCATTGACAGACAGGCTGAGCCAAACAAGCTTTAATTTGTGCTCAGTGTGAAGGTGCAGCCTGGTATCTGGAGGGGTCGCATTAGGAATTTGAGGCAAGCAGGTCTTTGGAATTTGTCAGAAATGGCCCAAAAAAACACCACAGGGAGCTTTTTAATTTGATCTCAAACTCAGGCTTGTCCACATTATTTCTATGTCCCTTCTTCTCGTCTCTTTCTTACCTTCTCTCTGTTTGTGGCTACATCCACGCTGCTACATTTTCATTTGAATACACATCAACTGTGCTATAGATACGCCTGGCGTCCACACTTCTCCAGGGTTTTAGAGCCACTAAAACAGAGAAGTTTGGAAATGCAACTGGCCTCGTATATGTTTAAAAACACCAGAAGTCATTTAAGTCTGGACAAGCAGAAACAGACGTTTGGGAATGAGGATGTAGACACTCACTTCCACTTGCTGATTGGATCAGCCACAATGTCGCCTTCACTGGTTCGCTGGTTGAGCTAATTTCAGAAGAAAAAAAACGACATTAGCCTCGGCTACCAGTGTAGAACACAACATGGATAATCAATTACAAGCGTTGCTGATCTCGTTGTCTTTACTAACAGCTGTTGAGCAGTTAGATTCTGTATTATACAGTGTTCATTAGCTGTTCCAGCAATCAGCACACACCGGAACACACATGCCCACTGACGTGAGTGGCCACGGGTTATTTTTCAGGCATGTTAGTATAGACAGGGATTAATCATGATGCAGAACTAAAACGCTCGAGTGGACAGAGATACAACTAACATTGTAGTATGGATGTAACCTATGTCACTGTATAAGAAAACTCAACACTTCTGTCAAAACAGTGTAAACTGTCAGGTCTACACACGCTGTGGGAATCAGCTTTCTCAATGGATACCACAATGTCTGAGGATGTAAGCAGCATGTTGTGATTTTGTCCTTGTTGTTCCCTCTCCGTCCTACAGGGCAACAAAGGGAAAACAGGCGTGATCATTGCAGCCTACATGCACTACAGCAAGATCTCCGCAGGGTGAGTGTGTGTCTGAGACATCCAAAACCACAGTTTTCGTCTTATACACTCATGGAACATTATTAAACTGACTATGCAAAAATGTACTGGATGTCCACTCAAATGTGGTCTCTAAATAAAAAACTTGCTACAGTTTCCAGTGGCTGATGTGTTCAAAATCAAGTGCTGTGTATGTTGCACAATGATTTCTATTCAGACTTTTGTTGATAAATCCTTTGATAAATTAAGCCCTGTGGATTTTTGCACAGGAACAGTGGAAACTGGTTTATCCTGTGGCCAGTGCCAGCTGTATCCTCTCCATGTACTTTCTGGCATCTAGAGAGTCTGGTGCAAGTCCCATGATGGAAATTGTTGGCTGAAAGCGCTTGTGTGTGTGTGTTTGCGTGCATTTATGTGCAGGGCGGACCAGGCTCTCAGTACTCTCGCCATGAGGAAGTTCTGTGAAGATAAGGTGTCCTCTTCCCTCCAGCCGTCCCAAAACAGGTAGAGGCCATGATGTTCTGAGGGGAAGTAGAGGGGAGGGGGTGCAGGGTGGGGGGTGGGGGTGGTTGAGGGTATCCCACTTCACAGCAGATGTTGCACATCTCTCTTGAATCTTTTTAAGAAGGACAAAAACAGTGTGTAGCTATGTACAACTCCTGGATTTGATTTATCTTCAACCTCAGGTTTTTGCTTTTTTTACAGTCACAGACGTGAATAATAAAATTAATGATGGCTGAATTCCATTTAGTTGCTTAAGTTTCAGGTTGTTCTTTTCCTACTATAAAAGATCTGCTGTGAAAACGACCAATGGAACAAAAAATAAAGAAGCTATGTGATGTTGGCGAGTGTAAATGGTATGTAATGTTAAAATGATAAATATATAGTGTAGTTAAGTTCAAAATGGACCCACACTGTCATCCTTATAAGAACTGATTAAATGTTGGTTGTCAAAGGTCATGGGGGTTCTTGTGTACTCAGGTACACCCACAGGGAATTGTCTTACGTCTGACACAAACATTGACTTGGATTTATTCTGAACTCCCCATTTTTATGTCACATATTTTATATCATGAGGATCTCTCTCACCCACCCTGCTCTTCTTCTTTCAGGTATATCTATTACTTTGGGGGCCTTCTGTCCGGGGCGATCAAGATGAACAGCAGCCCTCTCTTCCTCCACCAAGTTCTCATCCCATCACTCCCAAACTTCCAGGGTGAAGGAGGTGTGTATGTGTTAGTCTTCACCAAAACACATATTTCTATAAGTAGCCTTCCTGGTCCTAATATATTGTAGGTAGATACACCCTCACTCCTCAAGCCTACTCTGAAGATTGCTGTCACATCTGTTGTGAATGAGGTTAAACAATGGGTGGCTGTGTTTCTTTTGATTTGTAATTTCAAGCTTTAGACTCTGGTCTTTTGTCATGTGAACATTTTTGTGGCAGTAGACCTTGCCATGGGTTTCTCCCCATGACAGCCAGAGACGAACCAGTCACACCATTGGTTGCTCAGCTGCATCTTTATTAATATAAAACAGAACTGACAAAACACTTAACTTAGAGGGTCCAGCACTTTCTGCTGGACCTCTAGCTTTGCCCAGTCTCTTCCCCAGTGTGTCCCTCTGAGGCAGCTCTGCTGCTGCCTTTTCAAGCATGAGGATCAATCAGCTAACAGCTCTCACCTGCGCTGACTGATCCTCTGTGGTGCAGGTGAAGGTGCTCTCCCAGCCCCTTCACCTCTCCCAGCCCCTTCACCTCCACAATTTTGTACTATATTATTTCTGGAACTTATTTTAAACTGGTAATGTTCTGTTTTCTTTTTCTGTGTTAAAGCTCTGGAGCTACTTCAGAATGATTCCGTTCTCCTCAAACAGTTCTGCAATATACTCTCACTGTTTTACTGTGTGCAGAGCTTTATAAACAGTCTATGGTGCAGAATGTTGGAAAACTTTGTGTTCATCCTATCTGGTTTATCTGCAGTTGAGATTTTACAGTCGATGTTTGTCATAAAATGAAACTGATTTAGCTTTATTAGAAGTCAATAAGATATGTGTTCCTTAATGAGTATTGTTTAGGTTTACATGAAAAATGCGTCAAGTTCATGTTTCACCTGCAAGTACAACCTTGGTGACTGACAGCTGATCCAGCTGTGCCATCAGAGGACGCAAGAGTTTTGCAGGGGAAAAATGACATAAAAACATCAGAGAGTGTCATATGCGAGGGATCCCTCTCCCAGGATGAACAGAAGTGCAATAGATGTGTGTAACAAAACAGTATTTACAACATTCATGAGAAAGACATTGTCTAATATAAATTGAAAGGCGTATCAATAGTTCAAGTTTTTATACAAAAGAAAAAGCCTGACGGAGATGAAGGGGGCAGCAGTGACAGTTGTAATGATAGAACTTTTGCCAATAATGATAGTATATGTGAGTAGGCATAATCTAGTTGTTCTCATAATCCAGGATCAGATACCAGCATGATTCACGATGTGGCAGCGATCCTGGATACGATAAAGCACAAGGATAAAGCACAACGACTCTGGGGAAGAGGTCAAGTCAGTTTCCGTCTCAGACACAAGTGAGGGAAACTGTGCAGTTATGGACATGAGATGTCCCTGGAGCTCTGTTTTCCTCTCTGATCTTCCTGTATGCAGATAAAATGTGTACGCAATGTGATGTTTGTCTTGGCGTGGTGCTGTGACGGGCTTCCCTCCTGAACCAGCTCACTGCCGCCCTCATAGTCGGCCACGTTCATCCCCCTCCTCCTCCTACACACTCTCGCCTGTTTATCTTTAATCAGATGATCAGGTCCAGGAGGAGGCGGTGGCAGTCAGCACATTCCTCCACATTCCTCACCATGTCTTAATTTCTGCCTCGTCTCCCTCCCTCTCTCTCTGCAGGTTACTTCCCCTTCTTGAAGATCTACCAGGCCATGCAGTTGGTCTACACTTCAGGGATATAGTGAGTCTCTCTCGCTGTCATATGGCCAACTGATAGTAGAGATAAGCAAAGGACTGTTTTTCTTTCATGAGCTGAGGTTTCAGCCTCGTCACAGAGTAATTAAATAGATGGGATTGAATCAAATTAAACAAAGGACGTCTTTCTTCTTCAATCCAGCTTTTAACTCATGTCTTCCAGCTTTTATTGTTGTGAATACAGACACAGTCAAGTTAAAACATGATCAGAATGGTGCTATAAAGGATCCTTTACACAAATTACATGTTCCCAGTATTTGCAACATCACAGTCGTCTGTGACATCATGCAAACAAATCAACTAATCGATTTTTCAAGGCGCAGCAGTCTGCCTGCATTCCTTGTATGTTTTCAGTTTTCTGACAGACTTGTTTGTGTGCTCTGTGCTGTCGGCAGCGACCTTCAAGGCACCGGAGGCAGGCGGCTGTGCGTGACCATCGAACCAGCACTTCTGCTAAAGGGTGATATCATGGTGAGTCAGGCGAGAAGGAAATGACAAACAGAAACCCTGACATGGGTGGGGGTCTTAATAATGCCTTCATAATTTCAAACAGGGAGATCCTTACAAAGTAGGGCTACATTCACTGCAAAGAGTTTTTTCACTTTGTTAACAAGAAATCACAATTTGTCTTGTTTAGTGCACTCTATCATTTCTAAGTTGTAGGCGACTCATTTTGGAACTGAAAGCCTTTAATTTACTCTCCCAACCTTTCATTATCCCACACGCATTTTGATCCGTGCCTCTCTTCTCCCATCTCTGCCGCCCTCTGCAGGTCAAATGCTACCACAGGCGAGTCCAGAGCGCAGACAGAGACACGGTGTTCAGGCTGCAGTTCCACACCTGCACCATCCACGGATCCCAACTGTGGTTTGGCAAAGGGGAGCTGGACGTAGCTTGTATCGGTACGTTTGTTTAGGTTGTAGAAAAAAGATTTAGAAATACAGGGGATAGGGGGTATGGCGGTGGGACAGAGGTTGATGGTGTCTTTTTTTGTCAAGGGGGTAACTTAGAGAAGTCAAAACAAGCCACACATTTTTTAAATCCTGTACATTCTCTGTATTGCAGTACCACTAACATGTCCTTTTAAGAGAAATCTATTAATTTAGGTATATGATCCGTACAATCATCTGCAGTTCTTCTCAGCCCAACAGAGCTTTGGAGCATCTTTCAGCTCAATGTTTTGGTTCGGCTGTTTTTGTTCACGCCTCAAGTCTAATTGGTGTTGGATGTACGGGCAGCTGACAACGACAGACAGACAACTGTGGCAATAAGCAAGTTAACACAGTGAAGCATTCACCAGATAAAAAGCCAGATCGTTTTCTTAGAAACTAGTGGAGACAACAGATTTGGACTTACATTTTCTCACAAAATCCTTTATTTCCTTAAATTCAAGGATCACAAGTTTAAGTTCAATCAATCTATCAATCAACACACTTTTATGTGTACAGCCCAGATTCACAAATCACAGTTTGCCTCATAGGACTGAATAAGGTGCAACATCTTCTGCCCTTAACCCTTGACTAGAGTAAGCAAACACCAAAAAAATAACTCTAGTAGGAAAAAAATCTCCAGAGAGAGTCCCATGTGAGGGATCCTTCTCCAGGACGGACAGAAGTGGAACAGATGCTGCTTGAATAAGAGCAACAAAGAAATAATATTTACAGCACTGATGAGAAAAGACAGCATCTAACATACTTAGGTATCAGCCATAGTCTTCAGTTAATACAAAATGCTGCTGCACATTTTATCACTGGAACAAAAGGACATGACTGTCACGCACAGGACTTGGAGGAAGGACTCGGACGCAAAAACTGGAGAATGGAGGGCAGATTACAAAACTTACAAACGAAAATCCTACCTTCCTCCGGAGAGGAAATAAAATACAAACATTAACCAAAAAAACAAAACTCCAACAACGAGGGATAAGAGATAAAGTAGTAACAAAAAGATATATCTCCTCCTAAGAGGGAAACACTATGAACATAAACTAAAATATAACTCCTACAACAAGGGACAATACTTCTAATATATATATAAACAAAAATCTCCTCCGTAGAGGGACAAGATCTAAAGATAACTAGACGACACAAACAAAAGGAGCTGTGAAAACTAAGACACAAAAAGCCAACAAAATACACTCAACAAGGCAACTGACTGTTAGTATGATTCTAAGATGAGAGGCTGGTGGCACTTGACGAAGGGACAAGACACACTGGCACAGGACAAAGGGGAGACGCAGACTATAAGCACATGGAGGTAATGGGAAACAGGTGAGCGTAATCAGGATCGGGGAAGACAATCAGACCGAGTCACATGAGGAACGGCAAGTGACCTGAAACGAGTGTTACTTTTCAAAATAAAACAGGAAATCACAGTACAAACATGGAGACAAGACAAAAACTTAACTTGATCTTACTGTGGTGAGACAATGACCACATCACTCCTGTGCTTTCCTCCCTCCACTGGCTCACTGTTAAATGTATATTGATTTCTTTTGCTCAATTTCAAGGACTTAAATTTCCTTGTTGCAACCAAATATCTTTCAGATTAATTAAGCGGCGATGTGCCCTCTCGCCCGCTACCATCCGCTGAAGGAGCTGTGCTGGTTACTTCCAGGTCTCATCTTGTCACAAAGGATGACTAAGCCTTTGCTATCAAAGTCTCCACATTACGGGATACACTCCCCATTGAACTTAGAAACAACAATTATCTAGCTTCTTTTAAATCTCTGAAAACATTTTACACACCACAAGGTGTGTAACACAATATTCTTTTTGAAAGCTTTATAAAAATAATTGA